CAATCTGGACTTGGAGTTATTCCAAAGAGATTGTGTAATACCACAATATGTGAAATTACTAAATTTATGAAAATTGTTCCAGATGGAGTTGTTCCAATTTCTTTTTGTGTTCCAAGAAAATCAGAATTCTTCCAAGATGATATTTTTCCTAATACATATGCTGGTATTCAAACTGAAACTTCTAATGAATGGAAACAAGGAATTACTAATGAACCAAACTTATCATTTAATTTTGGTTTACAATATATTCCACCAGAAAATATTATTAATTCATCAAACCAATGTATTACATTACCTAAAATACCAATAAGTGATAAAGAAATTAAAGAAGAATGTGAACAACTTAAAAGAAGAATTAATTACTTAGAAACAGAATTATCAAAAAAAGATATAATAATTAATGTACTTCAATCTAAACTTTATAAACTGGAGGATTAATAAAAAAACCAAAGAAATAGAAAAGAGATATCTAATTACATATTGTTTTTATACTATTATTAACAACCATATGTTTCATCATTATTACATAAGTTATTAATATCTTCACAATACCCACATTTTTTTGTAATTGAACACCATCCACATTTATTAGTTAAACATGTATTTTGATTTGTTTTAGTTTCACAAGATTTGAAGGTGACTTTACCATAACTTACTTTAATAAATCCTGAACAAACAATGTAAAAATCAATGGTAGTAGTAGAAATATCATCAGAAACAATTCCTCGAATAGTTGGTAAAACAGAGTTTGGTGATGAACTTGATGGCATTACTAAAGTTAAATTTTGAGGTAATGGAATATCACTTTGTATTTGAGGAGAAAAACAGTTCCAAGGTGGAGATGATAATACCATTGGAATTATTGGTTCTTTGGGATATATATTAACATGATATGGATTATCTATTCCTCTTATATTTAAAGAAATAAATGGTTGTAAATAAAATAATACTATTGTTGAAATAAGAGTTAATACAAATACACCAATAAATAATCCAATAATAATAAATCCTTTATGAACTATATGAGAAGAATTATAAATAATATATGCTAATACTGCTAATCCAAGGAATATACCAAAATAAATAGAAGAAACAATAATTCCACCATATCCTAATATTAATGAAATAGTAAATGAAATATGAAGAAGTAAAAAAACAATTATCCATAAAAAGAATTGAGAAAGAGACCAATGACTTTTTAAATGAGGATATTTAAATAACATATTTATTCGTTTTCTTTGAGCAATAATAACACTCCAAAGAATAATTGTTTCAACTAATACTATAATAAAACTAAAATAACAATATGGTAAAATAAAAGGAAGAATAATACTAAAGATAGTAAAACTAATTGCCATAAATAATACCATTATTGGTGGTCCAAAAAATTCTAATGGAAAAAATCCAAAAACTCTTGAGCTTTTTTCAAGAAAGATATACTGTTTATTTTCTTCCATTAATTTTTGAAGTTGTGAAACAACATCTTCTACTTTTTTAGATAATTCAATATATTCTTGTCTTGATGAACTTTGTAAACTTACTGAATTATCATGAATACTTTTTAATGCTTCAATAATATATGGAATAAGACCTAAATAATCAACACTTAAATTACTTGTCTCATCTTTTTGAACTAAGTCTGGAATAATCTCTTGAACTTCTTGTGCAATAAATCCATATTTTATTTTATTAGGTTCATTTTTATATGAATATTTCTTTCCAACTAATGAAAGAATTGAATTTAATGCATTTTCAATTGTTTGAATATCTGTTTTAGACCTAGCATCAGAACGAACAAGATATCCATTTTCAGCAAGTATTTCACCAAAAACATGTAATCTTTTTATTTGATTTGTTATTTCTTCTATTTTAATAAATTCTGTATTATTTTGAATATTAGAACTTATTTGATTAATATCTTCTATAGCAATAGTTGTAGCTGACTGGAATGGTTGTTCTATTTCTATCGATTCTATTTGATTATTATTTTGATTATTATTTTGGTATGTAGATAAGAATGAAAATGGATAAATAGATTGAGTAATTGAGTTATTAAAAGTTGCTAATGATTGTAATTGTTTTGGAGTATTAAATTGATTAAATAATTGTAATTCCATTTCAAGAATATCTAATGAATTTTGTTCAGTAATTGTTATTGGAGTTTCAATATGATTGTTATAATTTTGTACAGTTAGAGTATTCAATTTTCCTTCTAATTTTTGAGAAATATTTTGTTTTTCAACAAGTTGAATCATATACCTTTCACATAGATTTTTTAATGGTGCTTTATTTTGAGTCTTTTTAAATGCTGTTGTTGGAGATAATTCTGGAAATTTTTGTGTATAATATTCTCTAAGATGAATATCCCAAACATGAGCATAACAATTAAAACGAGTTTTTGCAGGTTCATTACAATTAGGAAAAATACATTTCCAATTCTTTTTTCTTTGTTTTTGAGTTCTTTGAATTTCTTCAGAAGAGACAAGAAGAACATCATTTCCATTGAACTCTATTTGATGATTTGGTTCTTGCATTAAATTATTGATTATAATGAAAACAGTTGTTGTCTCTCTGAGAGATATAAAAAGAGACAAATTCAAGAAAAAATTCAATTGTATTTTAAAATTAAAAAATAATAAAAAGATGTAATATATAACAAAAAAAAAGAGTGAAAGAGAAAATTTTATTTAATATATTAAAATTCATCATTCTTTTAAATTTTCATTAAAAATAGAACTTAAAATAAACTCTAAAATAGATATCTAATCTCTTTGATGCCTAATTACAAAAAGAATAAACCTTACTACTTATATGTTATAACAGGTTTAATTGGAATTATAAGTTTTTACATAAACTTTCAAGTTAGTAAAGAAAGTAAATTATTTTACAAATTAAGACTTCCAATTTGTTTTTTAGAACTTTTAATTATTGTAGATATGTTAGTTATCAATTATATTAATCCACATAACAAAGATTATAATAAATATAATTATTGGATAGGTCCTATTAGAAAAGTCTTTGCAAATTCACACACAAATACTAAAAATCTTGATGTTAATGCAATTGATAAAAATGTTTTTTTTGATAAAAATTATTCATTAGATTTTTGTTTAAAATGCAATACAATCAAACAACCAAGAGTAACTCATTGTGATATTTGTGGAACGTTTGTTTTGTATTTGAAATAAATATTTATAATAAATTTGAATAACATTAATATATAATAGATGTATTTTAAGACATGATCATCATAGTATTTTATTACAAACATGTATTGGACAACATAATTATTTATATTATTATATTTTTGTATTATTTACTGTAATTACTACTGGTCTTAATTGTATTATATTTCTTCTTTTTCAATTCAAAAAATTACATATAGAATGTCGTTTAATTTCTTTAGGATTTCTTTTTGGAAATATTTCTATTCTATTTGAATTCTATCAAAATTTAAAAACAATTGTTTATCAACTTCAATTTAATTTTACTTGTAGTGAACATAAAAAATATTTAAACAGTAGAAGAATGCATTGTCAATACCATTATGATACTGGAAAATTAACTACAAACATACATGATGCTTTTTATTGATTATTTGTTATTCAATTTTTTCGTTCTAATAAAACCTAAAAATTTTAGATTTTTTTAATTTAATAGTTTATTTGAAAAAAAATTTAAACTAAAAAACAATTTATATCATTCTGAATAATTATGTTCGCATCTTATTTATTAAAACGTCGTTCTACTACTCAACTTATTTTTGATAAATATGAAAAGATTGAAACATTAGGAGAAGGGACATATGGTTTTGTTTCTAAAGTTAGAAATGTTCATGACAAACAATATTATGCTTTAAAAATGATTAAAGGTGAAAATGACTCTGATGGAATTTCTAGTACTTCTCTTCGTGAGATTTCTTCATTACTTAAATTAAGACATCCTTTTATAATTAAGTTTGTTTTAATTTTCATCTTTATAAGTATTTAATTGTTATATTGATGTGATGTAGATTAATTTCAGTTGAAAATAAAGTTGATTCTTTAGGAATGGTATTTGAATATTGTGAATGTGATTTATCAAAATACATTAAAAATCATTCAAAAATTCAACCAAAAGTAATTAAAAAATGGATGAAACAATTATTCAGTGCTATTGAATATCTTCATGCTAGAAGATATTTACATCGTGATTTAAAACCACAAAATATATTAATTGATAAATATTGTAATATCAAATTGGCTGACTTTGGTCTTGTTAGAGCTGTAACAATTCCTTTAAGAGAATATACAACTGAAATCATTACATTATGGTATCGTCCACCTGAAATTTTACTTGGTGCAACTCATTATGAAGCGTCAGTTGATATTTGGTCAATAGGTGCAATTTTTGGGGAATTAGCATATGGAGCACCAATTTATAGAGGAGAAAGTGAATATGATGAATTATTAAAAATATTTAGAGTATTAGGATATCCTGACGAAAAAGAATGGCCAGACTTTACTTATCTTAAAAACAGAATTAGACATAGACTGCCTGCTTTTGAGAAAGAAAATTTATCTCAAAAATTTGAAGTACTTAATAAAAGTGGAATTAACTTATTTGAATGTTGTAATCAATATAATCCTACTAAAAGAATAACTGCTCGTGATGCTCTTCATCACCCTTATTTTTCAGAATAAATTTACTGTTATTTTTTCCTTGAAAATTTATTTAAAAAAATACCCCAAAAATTAATTTCCTTTCATAGGTATCTTTAATATTTATTTCTTTAAGAAATGAAAGAAGTGTTTGTTCTTGGAACTTTGTCTGCTTTATTTGTTTGTTTTCTGTAATTCTTTCTTATTTCTCTTTTTTTTTGTAACTTATTCTTTCAAGACTATTGCATGTCTTTATTCTGTTGCTGCAATTTATGGTATATCTATTCATTGGACAATTAATAAAAATGAAACAAAATATAGATTAATGTCATCTATTCTTACTTTAACATTTGGTATTATTGGCGTTGTTTTTCATTTCTTTGCAACTGTCTTTGTTTTTTATAATAAGAAAGAATATAGAAGGATAAGAAAACTTTTTATTATTCTTTTATTTGTAGAGACTATTATTATTCTTCCCCTTGTTATTCTTAGTTGGATTGGTGGAGCATTTGAGGTTATTGACCTTGAAAATTTTACTGAAGTTAAGAAACATGGCTTTGAGAAACAAGTTTGTTTTTGTTTTTTTTATTTATGATGCTATATTATTCATATCTCAGTTTCATTGTTGTTATGTCTTTTCAAATGGAACAATTCAACCTGAATGTTCTTGTCTTTATGACAACCACCTTTCATTTACTACTATTAAAGAAATGGAAAATGATGGAACATGTACCACTTGTGGAAATTGTATTGAAACTAACAGTACAATTCTTTTTTATTTATGTTGTGGTTTAAACACTTTATTCATAGTTTCAAATATATGTTTTTTTGTATGTTACACATTTGTTGAAGTTAGAAGATGTTGTCATGTACTAACTTTTGAAGAAGAGATTCAGCTAAGAATGGAACAACTCTCCAAACAAAGAACATTTCAACAAACTACTGTAGAAAATATTCCTAAAAATCAAAACATGACTAACCAAACACCACAAAAGGAAATAGAGATGACTTCACAATAATTATCTATATTTCAAAGTTGTCAACATTAAACTTACTAGTCACTTCTTTATTAAAATAGATATTATAACTTCTGTTATCTCTTTTTTTGTTATTCAATTTTTGTTAAATCAAAATCTCTAAAATCAATATAATGAATAAGTTTGTTCATTTCCACTTCTATTACTCTTATTATTATCGTTATTAATTTATTAGTAACCAACCAAAAGAAGCACCAGTAGAAATATTTAAACCTGAAATGAAACAATTTCATGAAAATTGTCAAATTTGGTATTCAGTTGTTTGTTTTTTATCATTACTAATCACTTTTATTAGTTATTTATGTATTAGATTCCAACTGAAATAGTAAATCATTATATGGCGATGGCTGGATTTCAATCTCAAGACAAACAAATAGCAAAAGCAGTTGCTCTAGCTACTGAAAAATTTATGTTTGAAGTTATAACTGATGCCCAAGCATATGGATTGACACATCTCCATTCACACTCTGCTATCAAACCTGTTACTACAATGACATTAGAAGATGTTGCATCTGCATTAAAAGACCGTGGAATTAATGTGAAAAGACCTGATTTTGTAGTAGAACAAACGATTAATTAATAATAAAAATTTAAAATAAAAAAAATAAAAGGTTTTAATAAAAATGTAAAAGTATCTTAAGTGTACTAATAACTTTTTTATTCAACTGGTGGA